AAGGCATAAACATAGCAAAATCTTATGTGCAAACCACTTTTTCTAAAATCTATAAAAAATTCAATGATAGAAACCAAAGACAAGTTATTGTATGTACATATACCATACTTATAGATTGCAAGACTCAAATATTTTTTAAAAAGTCAATCAATTTACAGATCACCCAAACTAAAGAAACTTTTGTAGATACTGACAAGCTGATCCTACCATTCACATAGAAAGACAAAGGAACTAAGAAGCCATGACATTAGTGAGAAAGAGTAACACTAATCAACTAGACTACCCACTTTAAAAGGTCATAACAGAAAGTAATCCAGTCAACACAGGATAATATTTACACATAGCAGAACACAACCAAGGGTTCCAGAATCAATGAATCATTATATTTATGACATACTTTACTTAATATTTAAAGTAAGATAGAATAAAATATATTTGAACCACTACATCTATCTATCTATCTATCTATCTATCTATCTATCTATCTATCTATCTATCTATTCATCTATCTGAAAGTCTAGGACCATCCTGCTGAAGTCAGTTCTCTCCATCCGCCATGAGGATCCCAGGAATCAAGTTCAGGCTGTGCAGCAAGTGCCCTTACACACTGAGCCATCTGGCTGGCCCCTGACTGATTTTCTTTTAAATACCCAAGGAAATTCAGTTGGGAAATACTTGTCTTTAAAACAACTTGTGCTAAAATAATGGAACTTCTACAAGCCCAAAAGTGTTTGACCCATCTCACATCTTATTCAAAGCTTAACTCAAGTTTAATCATAGACCTAAACACAAAACATAAACGTATGAGATTTTTAAAAGAAAACAGGAACATTATTACAACTTTGAACTCATGAGATAAATTTCATATAAATTCTTAGGAAAGGGACTACTTTTCCTATCAAATAAGAATGGCTCTTTAAAATACAGAAAAGTTTATAATTGTCTAAGTCTTCAAAATTTATTTTCTCACTATTCAAATAATGAGCCCTGAGCATGAATGAGTACATTTGCAATGTAACCACACTTCCTCTTTCTCTACCACCCAGACTAAACAATTCTGGAGTGAAATGATGAAAAGAATGGCCCTGTTTTCCCTTTGCTCATATTTCTTCACTCATTTCTCATCACCTGGTACTGTTTTGCAAGTCACTATAGGAACAAGGAAAGCTATAACAAAGGAAGAAGTTCGCTTTAAGACAAAGAAAAAGGCTAGGGTTGTGGAGACGACTCAGTCTGGAAAGGGTTTGCTGCTGAAGCATGAGAATGTGAGTTCAACTCCCAGATCCACATGAAAAAAGCCGGGTGCAGTGATGAGCACTTGTAATCCTAGGGCTGGGAAGGCAGAGACAGGCGGACCCCTGGGGCTCGCTGCTTAGCCAAACTAGCAAGCCCCAGGCCAGCAAGTCCCTGCCTCCAACCAACAAGATGAAACTGTGTCTCATAAACAGAGTGTGGCTCCTGAGACTGTCCTCTGACACAGCAACACACACACACACACACACACACACACACACACACACACGTGCACACACACACACGCGCACACACACTCACACACGCATGCACATGTGCACGCACACACAAGCACATATACACATTAAAAGAAAAATAAGTGCTCTCAGTAATTGATATTTAACCAACCTCTTGGTGAACACTTGTCTTTTCTTGTCCCAAACCATACCTACTCGGGCCACAGTTCTCCGCAGGAAATAAGACTTCTAAGGTTGTGACCAGTTAGGCTCTTAACGTGACTAATTCCCCTCTCATCCCCTCATGGCTCAGCTTCCACAATATTAGCTAACGTAAGTATGGTTCCTTACGCGGGACTATGAGCTCCATGGGAACAATGATTTTCTCCTTTTTAAGGATTGTGGATCCCCCATACTTTAAACTGTGTGTCTGGTGCACAGTAGGTGTTTTGTGGAATGGAAACTGCCTGAGGCTTGAATCAGTATCACTTCCCCCTACTTCACAGGGATCCTAGTAGACAGAGCTAAATGAGCTGGCCCTCCCCATCTACTTTCTTCCAGCTTCCGGACTTCCTAGGTACTGAGGAGAGAGGACTGTGGGAAGCTGCATGCCGTGTTCTGCAGCCAAACACCAAATGTCCATTGATGTCCACCAGGTCCAGTGGTAACAGAAATCAGTGGCCTATCACTTCGGTGAAAATGGACTACACGAATGACTTCAAAGACGCACTGAACACCATCACTAAGGGTCTCACATACTGAATTTAGGACCAGGAAGCCTGCCTTCTAGTTCCAGGATCTACCATTAGCTGCGCGCTCACCAAGCCCCAGCCTGTTGGTTTGAAGGCAGGTAACAATGCTGAAACGGAGCCATGGCTTTGAGCAAGGGAGTGCTCTCAGGAGGACTGAGGAGGCCCTGGGCTAGGGTGGATTTATAGGGGAAGACCATAGTCATCCGTGAGACTTCAACTACACATGGCCCCCTCTTGGAACTCCTCCAACAGGGTGAGCCATTATCGCTTACTCAATGACAGTGATACATAGAAAACTGTCACTCATCCTAAGGGGCATGTCGAGAGCTTTTCCGGGTTTCATGTGTGAGTTGTCTGACAAATGGAACACCACTCTTAGTGACACCACAGGGAGTTCAACCCAGGGTGTCCCTGTCATCCCTGCTACGCCACACTGAGCTGCTTTCCTTTCCCTCAGCCACATACTCCACTTTTCCTACTGAACTGAACTCCGGATTTGCAGGAGGCATGGCCTTGCCATGGTGCTCACTTCCGATTGTACTAGACACAGAGCCTGGGCAAGATGAGCCCTGCTCCAGCTCAGAAGAATATCTGGCAAAAGCAAACACAGTCCCAGCTCTGCTGATAAAGGTTAGTCTAGGGGTAGGCTGCCTATTCTAGCTAATGGCACATGACCAACGACAAAAACTATAAGGAAATCTTAGTTTTCTTATCTAAAAGAAGATGAGGAGTGAGCCTGGTCTTTCCTTCTGCCGTGATTGCTATTATGTCAAGGAAGGCAACAGGATCTCTGGTCTCCACGGAGGTCAGGGAAAACTTAGAGAAATTTCCAGAAGGCAACCTAGAGCTGTAAACTGTCCCTTCCTCACCCTCAGGCATCCTGAGGGAAACAGTAATGTGGCCCAAGGAAGGCAGCATGCATTAAAGTGTGCCCTGTCAGATACCCTACCCTGTGACCAGGACAGCACCTCCGGTCTGTCCTGCAGTCCATTCATCTCCCGTTGAGAGCTAAGCTACACTTTCCTTGGCTGTCCCCAGCCGGACAGCCTCCAACACTGCTATCTGCACACGAGTCTTTCCTGGGAGCATTCACCCTCTCACTCTTGGCAGAGGCTCTGGCACATGCTGGGCATTGACTAAATGCAGAATGATTGAGTGAATGAAACACTGAATGAAATCTGGAAACACAAACCGAGGCCCTGACAGGCTGGTACCTAGGCTGTCCACACTCTGAGAAAGGCCTCCTCCTTGAGGTGCCCTCAAGGAAAAGCAGACACAGTGCAACACACAATCCTATTTTTGCCTGCCCAGAATTGAAATCACTTCTTGAGAACAGGCCTCCAAATCGCCTGCACTTGAGACCGGGCGGTCTATCTCAATGGCTAAGCTAATCCTCCGTGGTGCTGGTGGCACCTGGGTAATACAGGCCTACTACTGTTATGGAAACCCACTCTGTAGCTGCTGAGATGGCTTGTGCTTATTGCAGTCCAGTGCACCAGGAGGGTCCTGCTGAAGGACAGAGTAAATTGAGGAAATCTCCAACATCTATCTCTTTCCTTCCCTCTCTCCTCCTTCTGCTTTACTCCTCTGATTTCCCTCAAAGATAAGACTGAAGGGAAGGTGCCTGCGCTATTGACCATTGCATACAAAAGAACATGTCAGCCTAGTGGGGAAGGAACTAAGATGCCTGCTGAAGAAAACACTTGCCTGGGGAGCTCATAGGAGTGACAGTATCTTTCTACAGTAGAAGCTGCAGCCCTCAGACTTCATTTGGAAGACCCAGTCAATCCCTACACTGCATAAGGCAACTTTCAAGTCACCAAACCCTAACCTTAAGAAATGAATCCTGACAGTCCACAATGCCAGGAGCAGGATAATTACACCCTCCTACAAGGGGACATGTGCACTGACCCTCTTCATTTTGGCAGTTAGAACAACCCCACCCCCTCCCCTGCCGCTGCCTCCATCAAATACTCAGGATGGTGCCCACCCCGCCCATGCACACAGACACTATCACTTTCCCTCTGGATGTCTTCTATTCAGAAAGATTCAGGGACCTCTGGAGACATGAAGTGTCAACATGTTAACGCCTGAGGGACAAACATGGAGAAAAAACCCTCAAGCATGCTAGGCACCTCACGGGCGTCCAATACTTTAAGGCCATCTGATGATTTTAATGCCTATTTTATCTTTGAGGAAACAGGCTCAGAGAAGTTAAAGAGCTTGCTCAAGGTCACAGAGCTAGTAAGTGAACTGAAATTTAAACACCACTCTGGACTACTCACTCTTCTTACTTCATCACCGGGATCACCAGGCACCCCTTCACCCCACAACACCCCAGGGCACACAGACCCGTGCGGACTTACTAAGTATGGCCCTTGGAGTAAGGACAGCCCCCGCCGACCCAGCTCTGCGGAAGCCTAGGTAACTAACCAATGTTGGTTAGTGATTTAACAGCAAAAGTAAAGCGCCAGGCAAAGGGAGCGACGGCTCCCGCCGGCGGGGATGAAACGCCGCAGAGGGAAGGGAGGGAGCTGGCTCGCACTTAGACATGAGGTCCGGCCCCAGCCTCAGCCGTGGTGGCCTCCAGCCACGGAGTCCCGGGGAGACCCGCGCGTCCAGATGTGGGCAGCTGCGCTCCCCTGCGGCTCCGAGAGTCCCGGGCTCCGCGGGGCTTAGCGCAGCGCCCGCCGCAGCCGCTCGCCCCTCCCAGCCTCGGCTCTGCAGCCCCGCACGCCAACGCCAACGCCCCGCAGAGCTCAGAGCTCGCCCGGCTCACCTACGCCGTCGCGGCCCGCGGACTCCAGGCGCCTCGCTCCGCTCCCAGCCTGGGCTCGCGGCACCAGCCCGGGGCTGGCGTTGGCTGGGACCGCGCGGGGCGGGGCACGGCTCCTCCCCTCCCCGAGCCACCTGGGGCGACCGGGAGGGGCGGGCCGACAGGTGAGGGCCTCCCGCGGGGGAGCGGCACCCGCTTGGGGACGCCGCCTGGATCCTGCGCCCGGTGGCACGGAGCCGAGCGAACGCGAGGAGGTCGCTTAATGCACCCGAGCCGAAGAGCTGTTCCCACCTAGCCTGGCCGGCTGGGAAGAGAACACAGACCCGCACGGAGCAGCTAGACTAGAGGAACAGTCACAGACCCGGGTGCCAGTGCCTCGGGGGTGAAAACAGGAGGCCAGGAGTGCAACTTTCTTCAGAAACAGAACTCAGGCCTTTTAGACTTACTCTTCCTACGCCTCACCCACCCCTCAAACGATATCTCTCCCTCTTTTAAAAGAATATATTGCGCTATAAATGAGATAAATCCCGATTGCGATGTCCTCCCCAGCTCTGGATAATAAGTCTGACTTTGCTTCTCTTCAGTTGAGGGCAGCCCAGGGCTCTGGTAAAAGCAGAAGAGGTATGGTCCCCAAGCCAGGCTGGCTCCAGTCTTACTCTGTGTTACCGTTTGAAAGCAAGCTTCCCGCTTGTAGTATCACTTTCCTCCCCAAAGCTTCCCACCAGACAGTTTGTAGGAGGCCTACACTCTCAAGACACCTGTGCAAGCGCTCAGGCAACTCTCTAACTTAGGAGGAGGTCACATTCAGAGGGACTCCCAGAAGAGGACTGCCTGTCAGACTTCACCAGTGGGAACCCACCCAGGAGATGGTCTGAGGTCCACACCTGTATCCCCAAAGGCAGCACAGTGGCCTGGAACCCTGAGGTATTTGGTGGGACCTCCCACTAGGAAAACTTGGTTGGAGGCATGGACATGGCCACCACAGAGACCCATGGGCTCTGCAGTGGTAACTATTGATCCTGGTTATTGGGTGTCCTCCACCGAAGCAGTAAGTCAAATCAGACCGAATCAGTAAATCCAGATTTAATAAACAGCGAAGCAGAGCAGAGTGAAGTAAGTCCTGGGTGACTCTTGGGAAGGCAGAAAAGAGAGCATGTGACAGGTCTGGCAAGGGCGTCTTAAATATCATGTGGGCGTGGTCTTCAGCATTCCTGGGGGAGGAGCCACCATTTGGAGGGCTTTCTGAGGGCTGGGGTTTGAAGAGGGAGTGAAGGAGGCTGAGGTGGGGCTTGTCCACCTAGACATCCAGGTCAAGGGACACCTAACCAATGGCATTGCCTAGGTTCCTGAAGAATTCTAAAAGAGTGGAGCTTTTTTAAATTTCCCATTTAACAGACGGACAGCCTTAACGCTCACACTGGGTCTTTGCGGTGCAGCTGGTCCCACAGTTGGCTTCATTTATGGACTCAGAGAAATCTACTCCAAGCCTGATAGAGGAAGCGCCGGTCAGTTTTAAAGATGCACAGAACTCATCCTTTTTGGAACTATTTCGGTACCCTTCCATGACTGCATATTAAACTTCCAAGGCAAAATTGAAGGTGCTCTGCCTAGGTGTTATCAGGGTCACGTGGACGACGCTATCAAGGCCTGCGCCCCTCCTTCGTCAATGGATCCTACACAAGGGAGTATTTAAGATGTGGTGTTACCTGGCAAGCCTGGCCACACTAGACAGGCCATCTTGGAAAAAAAAAAAGTTACAGAGGATGCCCCACCTAGGCGTGCCTAACCACAGCTGCTATCCCCCATGGCAGGTTCAGAGGCCCTGTCCCAGGGTGGAGCCAGGCAGGGCCTGCCCTATGGGTCAGCCACTTCCCTTCAGCCAGTGGGCGAGGCTGAACAAAGGAGCCGCTCCAGGTCCCACCCAGGAGAAGCAGGCCCAGCCCTCTTTATGTTTTGGTTTCAGTCAGTGGAGCGTGTGGTTTAAAAGCCTCTGTTGTGTGTGTGATCATGCCTGGGACAGCCTTGTGAGTGATGCCACCTGGAAAGTCTGAAACCTTCCAGAAAACACAGTTTTATCCTGGACCCTTCCTGTTCCTTTCCCCTCTCCCTTCCCCTTCCCCATCCCCTTCCCCTACCCATCTTCCCATTCCCTTCCCCTTCCCGCAGCTTGTTTCTTTTTTGTTTGGTTAGGATTTTGTACATACATATAGAACAATTTTTTTTCTTTATTGTGGAGGCTTTTATACATGTATATCACGAAACACGATCATATTCACCCATTCCCCCAAGTTCTCCCCTCAACACAGTCCCCTCCTGATTTCATGTTTTCCCCCCTTTTTCTTTTTGATGACCCACTAAACTCAGTTAGTGTTGCCCATATGTGTACAGGTGGGTATGGAGTTACTCACTGGAGCACGGGAAACCTACCAGTGGCCACACATTTTTAAACAAAAGAACAATTGTCCTTCCCCAGTTGCTATCAATTGCCAAGAGCTCCTCAGGGGGGTGCTGGGGCTGGGAGAGTATCTCCCCTACCTATTTTGCCTGGATTAACCTTGGGTAGGGTCTGTGCGGGTAACCACAGTTTGTATGAGTTCATGAATGCAATAGCTATGTCAAGGACAGAAGTTTGCATTTCAAAGCGCCCTTCTCCATCATCTGACTCTCCATTCTCTCCAATATTCCCTGAGACAGGGAGGAGGGTATTCAGGAAGAGATGACATTTAGGGCTGTGTACTCAATCTCTGAGCACTTTGACCAGTTCAATGTGTTTCTTTACAATTTTTTAAAAATTTTTGTTTATGTATGTATTTTATATATGAGTGCTGTGTCTGCATGTATGCCTGCATGCCAGAAGAGGGCATCAGATTCCATTATAGATGGTTTGAGGCATCTCATCATGTGTTTGCTGGGAACTGAACTCAGGTCCTCTAGAAGAGTAGCCGGTGCTCTTAACTGCTGAGCCCACATGTTTTGTGATGGGATATTTCTTCTGCTTGGAGAAGATGAAGCCCCCAAACTTGACAAGATTTCTGCTGGAGACTCTTTGCTGAAAAGTAGTCTGTGGAATCTGGAGATCTGGTGCTGTTGTGAGGGTGGGTGAACTAAAGCCTGGGAAATGCTCGTGTGGCCCCTTTTTGTGAGGCTCAGTAAATGGAGTCCTGGTCGCATTGCCTGGGCTCTGACTGCCAGTGCAGAGAGCCCACTTGTGTCTACTCGATATTAAAGATCTGGAGAAAAGGACAGAGCCAGTGAAGGGCGTCTGAAGATTCTAGGATGAGCCAGGTCATTCTTGAAAATGGCTGTATTTGATACTATCCTTCCTGATGTCTAAGGAAATTATATTTGGGCTCCATTTTTTCCTCAATCTCTACTTGTCTGATGGAATAATAAAAGAGAAATTTAGGCAGGGAGATGGCTCAATCTGTAAAGTGTTTGCTACTCAGTTTGAAGACTTGAGTTGAGATGCCCAGCAGCCAGGTGGAAGCCAGGCATGGTCGCATGAGTCTGCAGTCCCAGGACTGGGGTAGGAGGTTGGAGGGACAGAAACAGGAAGATGCTGGCCTGATTGTTGAACTCCAGGTTCAGTGAGAGACCCTATCACAAAATGTAAGGTAGGTAGTAACTGAGCCCAACATGGACCACTAGCCTCAGCCCACATAAGCCTTCTCTACACATGAACATGTACACACACATACACTACAAGCAAAGAATAGTAGTGAAGTATGAATAAAAATATCTGGGGATGGAGAGGTGTTACAGAGGTTAAGAGCATTGGCTGTTCTTCCAGAGGTAATGTGTTCAGTTCCTGGCAACCACACGGTGACTCACAACCATCTATAATGAGATCTAATGCCCTCTTCTGGTAGGCGGGGATACATGCATACAGAACACAACAATAAATAAAATCTTAGAAAAAAAAAAGAAAGAAAATACTAAAGAGGGACAGAATCTTTTTTAAAATGATTCCCCAAGATGCATTTATCTTTCCAGTTCATGTACACATTTATATTCCCTGTGTACTTTTTTGGTTTTGGTTTTGTTTGAGACCAAGTCCCTCTAGAATAATCCTAGTTATCCTGGAACTCTGCATGTAGACCAGGCTGGCCTAGAACTCACAGAAATCCACCTGCCTCTGCCTCCTGAGTGCTGGGATGAAAGCACCAATCACACTCTGCTCGTGGTACATTTTTTATTGAGACTGTGTGTAGATATCCAGGCACTGAGAAGTCACTCCATTAATTATAGTTAACATGGGAGTAGTATAGAGAAATAGCCAGAAAGATTCAGATCAGAAAAAGCCAAGAATCTAGGATTTAGCTTCCATGGTTCTGGATCAGAGCCTTTGAGTTGAAATGAGAAGTTGGGAGATGTAAAGCACAACAATAACCTCTAGTGGGTTGCTACTTTGTACCAGACACTCTTTTAAATGCTTACCGTCCTAACCCAGGAGCCCAGGCCCTGCAAATGCATTCAGTATTATGATATTTTTCTTCCTCCCCACTTCATTCCTCTTAATTGCATTTGCCATCACTGTTTGCATGTGACAAGTCTATGAAATGTGACACGTGCCACTATCCCAGGACGAGTGAACACCAACCTAGGACTTCAGGGGTGGGCCGGAGTCCAGTTAATGCCATGCAGTTGCATGGCCCCCACCTGGACAGCCACTTTCTTTCCTTGCTGGGTCTGAGCTGAGAGTGGGCAGTGGACACAGCAGGAGTGATTATTAGGGCAACCTTTCCAGGGCTCCTGGGAATGTCAGCGGGAGAGTGATCAGAAAAAGAAAAAAAAAAAAACAACAGGATCTTCTCTTACTGATTGTGAGACCTGCCACGTGTACCAAGGACGGCCAAGGATTGTGTTTCTCAAGATTTTTGATGTTCGTCAGAGTACTGATGCAGCAAAGACGTTGAAATAACCTTCCCAAAGTGTTTTTGGGCATCCATCTCACGTACCAGGCCGGCATGCAGAATCATCAAGGTGGCACACTGTAGCTCTGTATCCTTGAGGAATCTTTAAAAGATGAGGTGGCCCCTCCAGGGGTTAGCAGCAAACCGGCATTACCATTATCTTTCTGTCTATCTTACTCTTCACAGTTCCACTGGGGCCCA